ATACAGATTCTAGTGTATTCAAGTACTCTTTTTAAAAACACAATTAAGGGAAAGTGTCTTAGGGACTAAGGGTTAATGGAAGGTTTATTTCATAACATAATTTATAATGCACCATCAATATCTCACCTGAGTTCTGCAGAGAGGATGTGTGACCTACATCAAAGTCATATGTGGAAATGGAATTCCTGATGATCTATTGAGGTGATTAGGTCATCAGTGTGGAGGAGCCTTCATCCAGTGACTGATGGAAGCAGAGGCAAACACCCACAGTTAAACACTGAACACAACCCACGGAACCCAGTAACAGAGAGACAGGAGCAAAGAGAAAATTGGCAAAGAATGGGCTGGCAAAACCAGCAGAGACAGCTGATCTGAACAGGGGAGAGCTCTTGGACCCCAGACCGACAGCTGGGAGGCCAGCATGGGACTAATCCAGACCCCCTGATTGTGAGAGTCAATGTGGAGGCCTGGGCTACCTGTGGGGTCCTGAGCAGTGGATCAGTGTTTATCCCTCGAATATTAACAGACATCTTGTGTCCATAACACAAAGAGGGTTGCTCTCTGTGCCTAGACTCTTATGGAAGTGCCTGGACCCTACCCCGAATGAAATGATCGACTCTAGATATCCCCTATACGGAAGTAATTGGCAATAGGGTGGGAGGATGGGGGGGTGGTAGGGGATGCGGAAGGAGGGAAGGGAGAGGGAACTGGGATTGACATGTAAAACAAGCTATTTAAAATTTTAAAAAAATGAAAAAAATGAGATTCACTCCCCTATCAATGACACAGACACGGGAACTCCATCTTCTCTCCTGCCCCGTGAGGATAGGGAGAAAAGTGTTGCTTATGGTACAGGAAGTGCCCTCACCAGAAATTAAATCTATTGGGACCTTCATCTTGTATTTACCAGCCCTCAATAGAAATAAATATCTGCTCTTTCAAGCTGCCTACTGTGTAGATTTGCTGTTCTAGGCCAGAATCCTAAAGGACTAGGCACATGATATTTTGTATATAATGTGAGAATTATATGCTGAACTCAAAGTTCTGAAAGAGTAAAAATACTTAGGGATGGAGGGATGGCTCAGTGTTTTACAGTACTGGCTGCTCTTCCAGAGTAACAGGGTTTCATTCTCGTCACCCCCATGGCCATTCCCAGTCACTTGTAACTGCAGTTCCAATGGATGGAATGCCCTCTTCTGGCCTCCAAGGGCACCAAGCACACATGTGGCACAGAGACACACAAGCAAAACAAACAAACCATGCACATAAAATACTAAACAAAATATTTTTACAGTATAGATATTCATTTCATATTCAAGTTAAATATTTCAATCTCTGACACATTTGAGTCAATTTTTGTATATCATCTAAAGGTTGGACCAAGGATCTTTTACTTAGTTAAAACTTCCAATATACTGGGAGGTGCTTCTTATGCCATTGGGGAAGGAAAGTCAACAGGGTATAACCGAGCTGTCAACCATACATGCTAAAATGCCAAATCTGTTGGCAATATGTGCCTATTGTTGAAATAGTGGCACCAGGCTCCTTGGGGACCGAACTGCTTTCTGATGAGAACTGAAGCTTGTTGCCAGAAGGGATCCTAGGCCTGTTGCTCTAACTTGGTCAAAATCCCATATCTTAGGAGGCCACAGGCAAGGGAGTTGTTTTGTTGAATGAACACTTGGTAAAGCTGCCTTCCAACTATTAGCGATATATCCATAGAATTGTCTGATTTGGCACTGGACAGAAAGCCTTTTATGCAGTGGACCTCAGTTAATACAGTGACTCACAAGTGGGCAGATGACCACTGAGTGCTCCATGCTAAATGAGACTTCTGTGCCAACCATCACAAGCATGGGGACATTGTGTAAGAGGAAGAATGTAGGAGCCAGAGGATGGGAAGTGGTGCTGTGAGACACTGTCATCTGTCCCTGACCAGGCCATTGAGCTCATGAACTTACCTCAGCTGAGTTTGCAAGCCTGAGGAGGAGGTCACTTGGGGAATCTCAGGAGGAGTGAGTGGACCAGCTGTGTGTTAATAGGATCCAGATACATTGTATACATGAAGGAAATGGTAAGGAGTAAGTGAAAAATATTTTAAAAGGGAGGCTCTATACAAAGTGAGTGATGAGTAAGGGACAGTACCTGCTGTGGTGAGGCTGTCTCTGATGCCCATGGGAGAAGGAATTAGTCTGTCAGTCTGGGGTCCACATGCACTATCACTATGAGGGTGCAGACAGACAGAGCTACAGACAGGCATGACTTGAGCAGCAGCTGATGTTGGATCTAGCTCACTGGGCTTCTAGACATCTTGGTAGGAAGAGCTCTGCTTCCAGAATACAGTGGGCCCAATGCTTCACCCATCCCAGTGGGATCTGTGACCTTTTTCTGGCCACACCTTTGTACAAGGGAACACATCCAGAGAAATATTCTGGTTCCCCATCTGTGGAGATGTTCCCAATAATTGAGGAATTTGCTTCTGGGTCTCAAAGGCCTTCATGAGAGCTTATACTTTTAGAAAAGAACATTCAGGCTACTTGCTTTCATAACACATACTTCAGAAATAAAAATTTAATGAACCCTTTGGATGGATATGGAAGGAAGGAAGAAATCCACAAACCAAAAACTCAGTTGGTGAGTTTGCTGGAGAAGGAAATATAGAAAAACCAAGTCTCCCAGGACACTTGTTAACCATTGACTATCAGAGGCAGGGTGCATTTTAGGTATCTGCAGGTAGCAAAATAGATCAATCTTTAGGTGTTTTGATGTTTGCTATTGGAATGGAAACAATGAGGCAAGGTTCAGTGGTGAAAGTCTTTAAAGATGGAATAAACAGAGAGTATATGAAAATATATCTATTGTAGAGGGGACCAGGCCATAGGGAGGGGAGCATTGGACAATTGGTCTCAATTCAATTACTGATCCAGTATTATGGTATTTTAATAGGTAAAAAGATAGTATACACAGTTTTTTGTGGTACATTTTATAACATTATATGGTATTTTCTGAGTCTGCTTATTTGAGGAGAGGCATTAGGAATTAGATTTCCAAATTTTCAGAGAATGAATCACAAGTCACCATATCAGGCTCCAAACAGTCAGGTCTGAACCTGATTGTTGGTGGCCATTTTGCCATTTACTTTTAGGCTTATTGTTTCGAAATTTCTCTCCAATGAGATGAGTGATGGGATGAGGTCAAATTATTTTTTTCTGATACTGCATTCCAGCTGAGAAGCTACATCTCAGGGCTCTGGTTGGCAATGATCCATCATAGTCACAGGGCTGCAAGCCTAAATCCTTGAGGTATGTTAGCATAGGAGGAGAGTATGTATCACGGGTGTGGAAATCTAGAAGGTTAAGCAAGCAGAAACTCAAGAGAGACAACAGAATGGCAAACAAGAACAAAGGGACTGTGGGAGCTAAGAGAACTCACACGAATTTCTAAATGCTTCCTAGGGACAGAGCCACCCAGAAGATCTGTATTAGTGATGACTCTCTACTAGGCCAGAACTTATAGACTAGGAATTTATTCGCGTGGCTTACAGGATTGGTCCAGCTAGTCCAACAACCACTGTCTACTAACAGAAAGTGTAGGAATACCATAGTTGTTCAGTTAATAGTGTCTGATGTCCCATCTGGTCTTCAATATACTCTGGAATCCCAGAGAAGTAGACTGTGATGCTAGTGAAGGAATGGACTCCCCAGTGACAGTGAGGGCAAGCAGGCTAAGAGCAATGACTTGCTTCTTTCATTTCCTTTTTATAGGCCTGTACAGAAGGTGTGGCCTAGATTCTAGGTGGTCTTCCCAGCTCATCAGATCAGGAAAACATCAGGCCTTCCCACTTCAAATGAGTTAATTAAGAAAAGTCACTCACAAGTGTACCCAGCCAATTGGTGTTACTTATTTCCAGAAGTAGTCAGGTTGACAACTAACAATAGCTACGAGAAGGTCTATATCAAATTTTGATTAAACCCGTTGAATAGTTGGATAATGCCTGAATTTTGGGAGATGTTTCTCTACTGTTCCTGAAGTAGTGGCCTGGAAATACCAAGTGTCACTGAGGAGGGCACGTGGGCACCTTGTGTCTGCAAAATGGATGTCTAGGTTTAAAGACTGTCTGTCATGGAGTTGATACACTGTCTTCACTATCTTTACAATGGGTGAAAAAAGGATTGTGGTAGTTCCACAATTAGTTTCATATGTGGGGTATTGCTTCTACTTAGGAATGACAGGAGAAGGCAGGTATTCAAAGTTACACATCCTTTTGGTACTAAGGAAGCACAGCTTATTTTTGCCTTTGAACGTGTTTGGGAGGTTTTTTTAGACAGCACACATAGACTCTGTGTAATTCTGCTTAATCTGTAGTGCTTTAAGTTTCCTGACTCCAATAGTGGGACAGGGAAACCAGATCCAGAATGCAAGGCCTGTTTTCCTATAATGCTATCCTTCAATGACCACATAGTTTTCCTTCTCTTTCTATCACTCTCCAGGAAGACTATTGCAGTCTAAATGGAAAATGAAACTGAATCTGCAATTTGGGTTTCATTGATTTATTGAGCAACTGAATATATACTTAGACATATATCCCATTCACAAAAGCTAGATAATGTAAAATCTTCATGTAGAGGATGACAATTTCCTTCCATGTGGAGAGTCATAGCCTAGTACGTGTAGCAGTCTCTAGACTCCTCAGACACTCAGTTTAAAAATCCCTTGGAATATCACAGTTATCATTCTCCATTTGGAAGTTAGTGAAATAAGGATGTGGACAAGAATCTGGAAGTGCTTGCACCACTCTGTGGGGGTGTAGAAGTCAGCAGACACAGTGAAGCACTTAGGACCTGTGCTTACCCCCAGGCTATCTACTCAGTCCTCTGGCTTGGGATGTCATTGGATTCCTCTTCTAGCCTGAGCTCAGATATAAGCATGCATTGGAGAGACGAGACCTTGAGTGCTCTGTCTTGCTCTCTGCTGCTCTCTTAACCTGGGATCCCACTGCCATGGGGAAGCACTTCCTGCTGCTGCTGCTGGGCCTCTCCTTGGTAGTGGGCTTCGTGCAAGGTGAGATCCTGGCAGATGGAAGGGGCCAGTGCTGGTGGGCAGACACACTGGTAAAGGGTACTGGGTTTGGGGAGGTCAGGAACAAGATGGAAGACCTGACTTCTTTTCTATGTGGACTCCACAGCCTTCATCTCTATATCCTCACATCCGTGTCCTTCCCTTCCCTCTGCTGGACACAGGATGGGCGTCTCCAATTCCTCCTCCTCTGTCATGCCTCTGCTCCTGTGTGCTTTCTCCTGGTCTTGCAATTCATCTCCTTATTGATAAAAAACCTGCACAGTTCCTCCAGCTTACCCATTTATAGTCCTAAATTCATATTAGAAGTGATGCCAGGAAGGTTCCTGACAGGATGAAGATGATGACTCGAAGGCAGCTCTTGTCTGGTCACAGGTAGTAGGCTCAAGCTCCTTCATCAACATTTGATCTTCCTCCACTCATCCCAGTCTTTCACAGTGTTTGAACCAGACAAACCTGGCTCTTCTCAATTCCCCTCCTAGGTTCCAAGGTCATGGGCTACTCTTTAGAGGTCAGCTCAGCACACATCCAGCTCTTTCCTTGGTGATTGCTTCTTATTCATTGACTGCAGACACAGGCTCAGCTTCTGTCTGAGGCTTCAGGGGTGCTCTGAATCTTGGTTTTGCTTTTTCAGCTCTGACATGTATGAAGTGTAGCTGGGTAAACCCTGCTGGAATATGTGAGAAAGGAAAAACCACCTGTGTGGCTAAGGATGGCGAACAATGTGACAGACTAATAGTGTCTACAGGTGTGTCAAGGTTGGGGCATATTGGGGTGAATCTGTTTCTCAGGAATGAATCAGCCCTTTTTTACACATCTGGGGACAACATCTGTGTGATTCTGTGTTCCTGTGTAAATTCAGGAGAAATCTCCTTTCCATTCGGTACTGGTTGACTACCATTCTTTCCTAATTAAGAATTTTTTGATGTGGGGTTCTCTTCATGATCTTTAGAGATTTCTGGAAAACATGTTAAGGGATGAAGGCAGTTGAACTCTAAAATTCCAGGCAGTAATTTTGGGTGTGGGTGTGACTATATGCCAGACTACTGTCTGCTAGATGGTAACTACAGTCACCTGAGTGTGGCTGGCAAACATTTCATCAGGGAGTGTAAGCCTCCTCATTTTGTGAGACTCTGATTTCAGAAATATTTATGTTTGACCCTTGTTATTTCTTTTTGCAGGTCGGGATATGCTGTTTGGACAGCAGGATTGTTCTTCCAGGTGTTTAAATAATACTTTCATCCATTATAACATTAAACTGGATTTTTTATGTTGCCATGACAAAAATCTGTGTAATACGATTTAGAAGCTGGGCCCCTCCCTGCCCAGTTCTGCTGCAGGTGAGTCCTTATTGCTCCCCTGTGCTCTCACCTCTTATGACACTGAACCATCTGTTCCCTGTGGAGCCTGTCCCTAGCACCTGCCTGGAATCAGCATCACCTGAGGATGTTTCAGTAGTTCAGTTGGGACAGAGCGATGTTCTCTGCTTCCCCATATCCCAGGTGCTTCCATCTTTCCGGTTCTTGGTTCCTTCTTTTGCTGCCTTCATCCTTCCATCACTAACTGATATGTGCCACACTTTCCTCTATTCCTCTCACTTTTACTGTTACCAACACTAGTTTTATACTAGTGAGTATGACAGACCTCACAGCCCCCTTACAAACTTTCTGATTTAGTGGTCCCTTCTGTCAAGGTTCTGGCAGATGCTAGTAGCAGAGTCTCACTTCATTCTACTTACAGAAGGGAAGACATATGATATCTGACTTCTCACTGCTATGACCTGAATAACACAGTATAATGCAGCAATGATATAGTTGATGATTTCAGAGGCTTTCATCGTGGAGGGGAGGATGTAGTGGACCAGAGACACTCACTTCATGGCAAGTAGGACTCATAGCTGGGCATAGTAGGAAGGGCCCACGACAGTATACACCTGCCAAGGCCAAGGTCCTTGCTTTCCCCAATTCAGCCTGCAACTTCCTTTATAATCTATACAAAATTTGAATGTATTAATGGCTTGAATATTTTAATTAGGTCGGAGACATCATATCCTAACCTGGTCTAGAATGTGACAGACTCACACAGAGCAGTGTTCGAGGAATCCCTTAGACATGCTTGACACAACCAAGTTCATTTTAGAGACTACACATCACATGGACTGACGTCCCTTCACCTCCGCAGTGTTCAATTCTATTTTGTTTGAGGATGGAAACATGACCCACTTTGGCTTTATCCCTATTGATTACATATATCTGAGGTTGTTTTGTTTTCATCTTTATTTTCATATTTTTCTAGCACATTTCATACTAGCCTTAGAAAATATAGACTTTGTTGTCCTAGGAAACATGGCTACTAATCCCACCCACCCCATGCAAATCATGACTTGTTTATTAGTTCAGGCATATATTCAAGTTTTAAAACCATTGGTAAGTTATGATGTGTATTTCCATATGAATATTTATACACTTAAACATATTAAAAGTCATTATACTCTTGTTTTTCAGCACTGTTCACTGAATCCTGTCTCTGAAGAGTTCCAGCAAGCATCCTACTACTGACATGGTCATGAATCCTATGTCCTAGTCTTTCCATCATATGCCTTAGATCTTTTGTAGTCTTAATGTATCTTACTATATTATATTTCATACTCTGTCATTCTTGAGTACATTTAAAAGTTAAATTGTAGTTCTGTTTTCTGTCTACATTTTCTTTCAATTACAAGCTATTTAAATTTATTTACTTTGTATGTGTTTCTCTTTTGACATGGCACCACACATGTGGGGAGTTTCAAACAGATCCTGTGGGATTCAGTACCCTCTCATAATCAGCTGGTTATGAAGACTGAACTTGGTACTCAAATGTAGTGGCCAATACATTCACACTGTCATATTATCTCTACTCAAGTTAAAAATCATACAATTAGTGTGCCAGGGGATAAAGTTATTTGTCACTAAACCTGATGACCTCAGTTCAGTTCCTGGAACCTGCATGATGTAAAGGGAAAAGGGATTTATACAAGTCCTCTAATCTCCACAATACACACACACACACACACACACACTCACAGCAAAACAGACAGATGTACAATGTATGCAGTGAAAATAATACAATTAAATTACAGCATTATTTTCCCTTTCTACATTCCCTCCTCTACTCTAACTTCCATACTACTAAACATTTAACACTCTGTATACCATTGTCCCCTTCAGCCCTTGATACAACTACATTCTACTTTTCTCTTTTTGAAGCCCTACTCTCCCAAGGAACTTTAACCGTAGGTGTCAACTCTGCATGGGACAGCTCCTTCCCTGACCATTGTTTCTTATAAATTTCCATCAGACACTTGAGGCTAGGGCCTCAAAGAGCCCCTTACTCTAGCTTTGCCTTTCAGCTTCCACAAGTGTCCAGTGTGATCTGTTCAGTTCTTCTGGGCTTTGTGGGCAACTTTGTGGGTAACTTTTACAGTTATGGAAGTCCTGAAATGTCTCAGGATGAACACAAGTCCTAAAGGAGAAATCCATGTCTAGAGCCTTGGGAATAAAAGCAGAGAAAATGGACAGATGTGTTTCTGTGAATGCAGGGAATGTCTTCTCTAGTTTTGGTATAGGCAGCCACTGACTGTAGGGCAGACCAAACTTCCCTTTAGGAGGAGAAAGAACATCTTTCTGGATAGGTCTCTGGGTGGACCTCATGGGACTTGTAGGGAACATTGTCAAGGAAGAAAGGGTTTGGATTCTAAAATTCTACTCTGCCCTTTTTTGAATTGGGTCAGATAAAGGGTGGAGCCCCGATAATCCAAAGAGTCTGCTTTAGTCATCCATTGTGACTGGTGACTTTTCACCCAAGACCCTGAATCTGCTTGTTTATTGAGTCACTGATATTTCTGCCACTACTTAAGGTTTTCTCTTGACCATCTTCATCATCAGGTGGCAAGCTCCACTCTGCTGTACAAGAATGTGTAAGAGCGTGTTTATTGATTCCAGTGTGGAACGAAATCTGACAAAGTATTTTGTATGTTTGGTGACAAAAATTTCTGTGATGGACAGCAAGGCCAGACATTTTCTTGACCTGTTCTACTTTAGGTGAGCCCTTTGCCCTTCCCTGCTGTCTTAGATAGGGTTACTATTGCTGTGATGAACACCATGACCAAAAGAAACTTGAAAAGGAAAGGGTTTCTTGTACCCACAATTCCTTACAGCAGTTCATCACCAAAAGCAGTGAGGGCAGGATCCTGTCGGCAGGAGCTGATGCAGAGATCATGGAGTTGGGTTGTTTCCTGGCTCTCTGCTCCTGGCTTGCTCAGCCTGCTTTCTTATAAATTCCAGCACCACCAGCACAAGTGTGGCATCACCTACAAAGGGCTAGGCACTCTCCCTTCAATTACTAATTAGTAAAATGCCTTCCAGCTGTATCTTATGAAGTCATTTTCACAGTGGAGCCTATCTCCCTGTTACACTAGCTTGTATCAAGTTGAATTAAACTACTCCCTACACATGTGCTCCTTTACCTACTGTATCCTGGAATCACAGGGTTAACTTTTCCCAGCATGACCCAAGTCCTGACATGTCTGGACTGGGCCTCAGCTGCTAAGATTTCCACAGTTCAGCTGGGCATGGAGATATGCTCTCTCTTACCCAGCACCCTGCATGCTCCCCTTTCTCAGATACTGTTTTCCTACTATCTCTTCCTCCATCATTCTATTGTTGATTGCTTTATAGCGCCCCACAATTAAACAAAGGGGATGATGAATAAACCCTGCAGTGAGGCTGCTTCTCCAACAGTGACTATGACACACATGGCACCTACCCTTGATAAAGCCTTTATTTTTAGTGATGTGTTTTCTGCCAGGCTGGCCAGCAACCTACAACTCCAGCATTTTACTTAGGGATATGCTAGATAATTTCTTATGGATGGATATGACGAGTAACAAGGACATCATTCAGTCCACAAGTACACATCTATAGTGACCAATTTCCTCCAAACAGCCTCTGCATTTCAAGGTCTACCACCTCTACATAATCTTCCCTAGTCCTCATTTTCAAAAGATTTACTCGTTCCATTATTTTAAGAAATTCTATAGTTTTAAGTGATATTGCTTGGGGTTTTCACATTTTCCCCCTGTAGTCTATATGTTCTACATAAAAAAATACAGACATTGAATGCCAGAGCATTGCTAGGAACTGCATCCCAACAGCAGACATACCATGTTTACATATTCAGTCATATTTCTCTTTTTTAAAATTGTTACTTTTATTGATGTTTTGTGGATTTCACATCATGCCTTCAAATTCCCCTTATCTCCTCATCTCTTCACAACTGCTCTCTGTCCTTGCAACCTCCTCCCCAAATCAAAACCAAATTTAAAATGAAACAGGAGGAAGAGGATGAGGGGAAGGAGGAGGTTGAGAAGGAGAAGGAGGAGGAGGAAGAGGAGCAGGAGGAGGAAGAGGAGGAGGAAGAGGAGGAGGAGTTGAAGAAGAAAAGAAGAAGAAGAAGAAGAAGAAGAAGAAGAAGAAGAAGAAGAAGAAGAAGAAGAAGAAGAAGAAGAAGAAGAAGAAGAAGAAGAAGAAGAAGAAGAAACTGAAACTTGTGGTAGTAGCGTGGCCTGTTGAGACTTGTAATTTATCCTTTAGTCCAGTGATATGTCCTTGCAAATGATTATTGCTGAGTGTCAATGGTCTGCCTTAAGGTCTCTGGCTTCTATTACTTTACTGATAATGGGCTCTTACACAGGCTTACAGGACATCCTCGTGGGTCTCCTGTTGTTGTTGTCCTGTGTCATGGAGATCCTGTTGTTTTGCAACTGTAGGTTTCTCCCCTAGATACAGTGGGAGTTGGGGTGGTCCAATGCACAGTCCTGGATCTGGGCCTGGGTGGTAGCTGGGTTAGTCAGTTACCTAACTTTCTCTCTTCTCACTACCCAGGCGAGCTCTCAAGCGCTGCCTTGGCTAGCTCACCAATGCAGTCTACAGCAAGGGGCGGGGAATTTTCACCTGCTCTTTGGGCCCACAGATCCAGGTCCCCCTCATTCATATCACCAGGACCAGTTCTACTGCTTGGACCAGACATGGTACAGGATCCTCTCTCCTGTGTGCTGCAGTTGGGGTGGAGCAGAGCTGGTTCTCTTTCTCTCCTGATCCCTGGTCCAGCTCTCTTGCCTGCCACAGGCAGCAAGTGTGTGTGTGGGAATATTGCTCTCACCCATATGACCGAATGGAAGATTACAGGGGAGCGGTCAGCTCACACCCTCAGGGCTGGTTTGCCTGAATCCATAACTATACAGTCACCTCTAGTGTGCTCCCCAGG